TACTACTGCTATTGCTGCTGTTGCCTCCTGCTGCTGCTAGTGCTACTACTACTACTACTGCTGCTACTACTACTACTACTGCTGCTGCTGCTACTACTACTACTACTACGGCTACTACTACTACTACTACTACTACTACTACTACTACTCGTACTGGTGTGAGTTCCCCACAATGCCATCTTCGGTCTATAGTGCTATGGCTCGAGAGTAACGGTAATAGGAATAATTATAGTAATACCGAAACTAACAATAGTCTACAATAGAGTCTACAAGTTTCACAAGGGGATGCCACTCCTAAGTGCTCAAGCACGTACCTCATTGTGCAAGGAAAATCACGTCTCGCTTGCAGCTCAACTTGTCATGTACTTACTTGTGGTTAATGGGGAATCAGTGAATACAATCCCTATATAATCCCGATAGAATCCCTATAGTATGCATTCCCTTATTCACTACGCACCACCAATAAGTCAGGCTTGAGGAGAAACTCAGCATCCAGTCGAAGGTTTATACAGAAGTTCGGGTGCGTCGAGAAGCCAGCCCAGAGCAGCTACGAAAGTGCAATCAAAGTTACTACTGTTGATGGAAGCAATCTTGCACCACCTTAAGTCCCTAAAGTTCTAGGAATTCCAGTAGTTTAGGGCCGCAGGGTGATGCAAGATTTCATCCATCAACCGTATTACTACAAATCTTATCTAGAAACTGGTTATTGGCAGACCTATCAGAGACAGCAGGACCCACAACCCAGACCGGGCAGCAAAAGCTAAGCTCAGCTTTCACGGCCTGAACCCTGATCCAGCGCACCCCTGTTTTTCTTATTCGGATGCCTTTGGAGTTTCTGTCGGAATCGACGTGCAGACGATTACGTGCAGACGATTACCTATTATTGATGGGACCATTTTTAATTTTCAAAGACGAATTACAGGGCTTGTGAATGAAAGTCCTTCTTTGGGTTGATGCGGTTTTTTGGACTACGCATCAGACGCTTGTTGAACAAACCCGGCATGCATAAATTCTAGTACACGCGCTCCAGGTAATTCCAGATTTTGTCCACAACAGTGCAGGCGCCCAAAGTACAACATCCCCAGTTTGGTGCCAGTACGTAATAGAAGGATTGCTCCCTGAAATCTCTAAACCTTGAACCCATACCCATACTGTAGGTGCTCGAATTCCTCCATATAATTTTCAGGAGGCAACCTATCCGAGGAATCTGGCAAATTCGGTTTAGGGTTTAGGGCCCCCATCAAACCCTACATGAACCCAGTAAACATGAACCTCCGTCCAAGTAGGAAGAACTGGGGATTTCACAGAATTAGGAATATCTTCTTGACTTTTTGCGTACGCACAATCAGGAAAATTATGGAATTGTTGGTGTCTTTCTTGGGGTCCCCTGAATCCTGAAAACATATTAGCTACAGTCTAAACTTCTCGCATCCCCCTTCATCACCCCTAGACTAATATGCCTCAATAATCCTTTATATAACCCCTTTAAGGAGTGTAGACCCTAAACCCTGAACTTTATATAACCCTTTAAGGAGTTTAGCCTATGTCATATTTAGGGAAACTTCCAACTGACCTACAGCCAGGTTGCAGAAGTCTCCGCTCCGCCGGACTTGACCGCCGGTCCGTGGAACATGCCACCATGCCTAAGACGGCTTAAGGCTAACAGCACAGGGTTTAGAGTTAAGGGGCCAGGATTTTAGGTTTAGGGGTTAAAGATCAGGGTTCCAGGCTTTAGGGTTTGGAGTTTGGGGCGTAGGTGCAGGCATCGCTTCAAGTTCAGGGTTCCGACCACTCAAAATGCCAGCAGCATGGGCGGCTAAGGGTCCATACGGTAACATTAGAACACTGTGGCAACTGCGACGAGATGAGGATTTTGGGTGAGAGGCGTAAGGGTTGGATGCTAAATGCGTTGGAAAATTGATGGTGTAAGGATTGGGTGTTCGCAGTTCAGGGCTTAGGAGTGTTTAGAGGCGTGGGGTTGATGGCTGAGGCTTCCAGGGTCAGACTTCCCACAGAAAATGGAGCCAGGAGCTGAGCGAGGTCTAAATGGGAAAGAATCTAATCGTGCTGGCCCATCACAACTATGCGATTCTGCCCTGTATTTTGCCCAGATGCTCCGCCCAGTAGTAGCATGGGCTCGCAAGTGCCCAAAACATCACGTAGCCGGCATGCACCTACAGGGACTCTGCAAACAACAAATTCCCGAGATCGGGTATGAGACCTCTTCAAAACGATGAGCCCTAAGAGGGATATAACTATAAGGAGTCTTCGGGAGTCCTTACTAAGGTTTACATAGGGACTCGTATGAAAAAGATCCGTGTAAAGATAAGGTTTTGGAGTGCCCACAAAACATGGCAATGGCTAAAAACAGCTTTGCATCTTGCTACAACTGCTGATTCATTTCAAGAGACACGACTTGCGAGTTCATGGCACATAGTAGTCACTCATAACTGGGGTTATAACCCCATTAGGATTTGGGGTATTCTTATATCCTTAGTACATCCCATCTGGAAATCATGGGAGGGGTGATAAGCACAGTTGTAAGTAGGTACTAAGTCCCTTGAGCCTTCAAGCAATGTGAATATCAAAGCACAAAACGTTGAAGGTCTCGCACGTTTTTTATCGTAGTTTTTATCTCCCTCTCTCCCTCCCCGAACTTGGGTAATTGTAGTTCTATCAAGCGTCCTACTCTACACCAAGGCATGGCTAAGGAACAAATACTTATGTTGCCGGATCCTGCTTTAAACCTAACCAACCTGAACTGACTTAACGCCACACAAGAAACCATTCAAGATCTTGGCCGAATGTCGGTCTCAATGTGGGCAAGCCTTTGTTTTGAGTTTGCACATCTTATTTATGCCCATGCCCGTCCCCACCTGGAAGGGCAGCAACGCATCTTCGATAGGGCGGTAGAAGCCAAACCCAGCAATGACGGCACCCAGGTTTCCACCCGCACCCACTAGCGCAGACACAATGGCCAATTGTTGCTTGTTCATAAATGGCACAATGCCATAAGATGTACCCTCTGCCATCTGCACGAACAAACTGAAGCACAACAGAACTGCGAGCGCAACATACCACGGCTGGCTGTTATCCACAAGTCCGAAGCAGAATAGGAAGATGGCCTCAAAAAAGAGAGCCAAGAACTGCGCCCAAATGCGGCCGCGGAAGCCGAACTTCTTAAAGAGCAGGTCGGAGGTGATGCCTCCCAAACTACGGGCGAAAAGGTTCATCAAGCCGAAAGAGCCCGCCAATGCAGAAGCATCTGCTGCCGCCATCTGGAAGTACGTGCGAAAGTGCGTCGCTAACTGATTGTTCATCGCGAGTTCCTAGGAAGAAACTTAGTAATTCGACAGGGGGCCTGTTGGGGAATAAACCCCTGGACGCCCTTGCCACGAGTGGGCGCGCCATGCGGCGCAAGGAGGGCCAGGAAGAGGGACCGAGAAGGTAACTTGATAAGGCGACAGGGAGTTCTAAGTGTGTAGCTTGGTATCGCGACACGGAGTGTGTAGCTTGATGGACATTAGGCCCGCCTATCCCACCTAAATGGCGAGTTCCTAGTTTGCTAACTTGGTAATGCGACACGGAGCCTGTTGGGGAATAAACTCTTGGTCGCGGGTTCCTAAACACAAGCTTTTCAGGTGCCCCATTTATGAGACATTTAGTTTCTACAGACCTAGCTGCCCTTCGCCAGTTCTCAAAATTTTGACCTGTTAAGACGGACATTAGGGCATAGTGCCATCGCCTCCATGATTCCCTGAGAGCGTGCCCAACTAGTTTGGGGTCAGTATCGAGATTGAAAAAGAAGCCACGAAAAGTCCATCCATCACCCTCAGGCTGCCATCCAAAACCAGCAAGGGCAGTGTTGACAATTCTTCGCAAGGACCAGTCCCTAGCAGGAAACTGTAGGATTGTACTCCATCTAGAAACACGTCTAAGCAGAGAAACGGCGTTCCAAACACTAACTGCAACCCACTGTGTGTTGGCGCCCCCTACGATTGCCATGAGGTCACGGCATGCATATCCGGTCTTACCAGCTGTACGCCGCAATCTTTGATCGAAAGCCCGGACCTCATGTTTAAGGGGTGGGTGGGCGACATATCCAAAGAGGACCTCGGAGAGTGCGAAAACTTTAGCATCGACAAGGCGACCCCAGAGCCCCAGTGGAAGATGTTCGATGCGACTCAGGCATTTCCTTGCATCGTCGACCCTATTCCTAGCCCGAAGTTGGAGTTCAGGAGGGACATCGCCGAGATAGACACCCAGAACCTCGATGCCGCGGTCAAAGCCGTCGTAATAGCGATGTGCCCGCTGCATTTTGCCCGGATGCTCCAGTAGCTTCAGGAACCGCGACTCCCTATCCCAAAGGTCAATGGCCCTACTCAGCAACTGAGAGTTGGAAGCAATCAATGTACGGTCATCAAGATACACCAGCTGGCGAAAGTCGCCAGGCGTTTCACGAAGTTGCTCACGGACGCGGAGACCTGCGGAAGCCATCCTCTGGCAAGGGCGAGCGGAGAAGCCGGATCACCTTGCGGAACTCCGGTGGCGGAGATCACCGGTACCTCATGAACGTGAGCATTATAGCATAGCCAACGCACCTGGCGCATCCAGTGCGAACCCAAGCATCGCACCCAGCCTCGCATATCTGGTGAGACCAACTTGCAAAGCGCAGACACCACTAACTCCGCATCCACGGTGTCAAACGCGTGGGACAAATCAAGAGTGGCCACGTACTTTCCCTCTTGGAACTCCCCTTCAACCAATGCAGCAAGGACTTCAGCACCAGCGGAATTGGGGCCCCCACCGACCCAACCAGGGATGTAAGCATCCCTCCATGCCAACACTGCCGAGGAGCGAATCCAAGAGGATGACCACAGCCGCCACCACACCGAGCACACCGCTACGGTCGAAAACCCTCGGGCTGAATCTTTCCATCGTGGATTTTGTTAGGCTTAGGGATATGGGCCACCCTGGTATGCTTGAGAATGCTTGGGCAATGACCCCACCGACCCCATCCCCGCATTGTGCTCCATACCAGTTGTAGACACCCGACAGGAAGCGCTTTGATTTCGTCAAGAGACCAACCATCGATGCCTGCGACTCCTCTTGCCCTACCGATTTGTTTGCGAAAGACCGACCAATCCGGGCCGTTCCCATAGGTTCCCTGTGGGGACTTGTTTGCATTCAAGGTCTCCGTGATGGAGTTGAGGGCCCGCTCTCTTTCATTGACCTCTATGCGGACCCTAGCCGACAAGGCGCTTTTGTAGTCCGAGACATTCCGAAGCGCGGCTTCAGCGGGTGAGGTTTGATTACTCGGCTGATGTTCCCCTTGAACGACTGGAGAAACCGGGATCTCCTTTTTCAGCCACAATGACCGAACCGAAACGGAGCTAACCATAGACTGTCGCCACTTCTCGACGCGCTGCCTAAAGCTAACGTTCTCTAAGGTTTTAATATGTTGCGCAAGATGCTCTTTCTCAACCTTGAAGGCCTCAATGACGTCAGCATCGATATGAAAGGCTTCTCCTTGTCGAAGTCGCCGCCAAAGAACCTTAGCTTCATCAATTTTGTTGCGCTCGCACTTCTTGAGGAGCTCAGTAATGCGCCCCAATCTCCTCCGAGCCTTCAGGAACTTGATGGGATCAACTGCTTTAGACCTCGGGGTGGGTCTCCTTTGATAGTGCGGCGAAGAAGTTTTCCAAGCCGAAGACCGCGACAATTCCTGGGCCCTAGAGATTTCCGCCTGATCAGCCCACGCCGGGATGTTCTGCATGGCAATGCTCGTGGCAATTTGAAATAGCTCAGACATCTCAGCGGTCAAAGTGAGCCACTCAAAGTCAACATGAGACTGGGCATCATCTACTTGCCCATCTTGATCACGCGATGAGATATGACGGAGAGTGTTCAGCCGCGCCACCCTTGCGGAAGCAAAGAGCTGAGCCTCGGCAGAGCATCGACGAAAGTACCGTTCATTACTCTCATTATCCTGCTTGCCAAACCATCTTATTCGCTTCGGGGTGTTGGCGGCTTCTTGAATATTGAGGAAGATTCCTCGTTTGCCCGACAAGAGGAGCAGTTTAAGGGCATCGTCCTTAGGGATAGTGAGAAACCCTGTGATGAGCCACTGCCCACGAATTTGGCTAGAGGACCAGTCACCTCCAGTGAACTTGTGAGCAGGGATGCTTGAGTCCAGATTTACTAGCTCCGTTAGTATACTTTTAGCTGTACCTTTGTTGGCATCAGCAAAAATTGCCCGATACTCAACAGGAGCAGCAACGCGAAGTCTGACCCTCTCTACAGGTTTTATGGCGCTCGTATTGATGTCAATCAACGGGTTCGGCCACGGAGTATGCTTCCAGTCACCTAAGGCCCTAAGCGTGACCTCTTGGACTCTGAGATGCTTGTCTCCACCACTGGCTCGCACATGCCTGTGAGCAGTCCCTCCTACATCATGGCGTCCAAACAAGACGAGCGTGCAGTGAGATTGGTGCTGATGGCTCTGCCAATACACGCTAAGCTCATCAAACTCCCGCACAGAAGCACAGACCACAAGGTTCCCTGAAAGACTCAAACGCCTCTTCGCGGGACATGAGCACAGGTGCGCATGTCCATTCTGCTTGCACGAAGACCGTTGTCTTGCCCAATTTGCCAGCGGTTGACTGAGGTTTGGCATTCTTGGGGGCTCGGGGCCTTTCCTTTTCCCATTGCGAAGTGACCTGCCGTTGGGTTTGGTTACTGGGCCAATAGGACTGCATATTGTGATTTCCCCCACTGTTGTCCTGTCGAGGGCGATCCAACATGCGAAGTACCTTATTTGCCACCTGTTCATCGGTGTTACCCTGCGCCACACACTGATTGAGCAAATTGAGGAGTTTAGAGTTTAGACGCGAGCGAGGGTTTAGGGGGATAATAGGACTGTTTAGGGTACTGCTGGGCGGATTGTTGATTCTGATCCCCTTTTGCGGCGGGCTGCGATTGTCTTTGCTGCCATTGCTGCAGCGTATGCTTCAGGACTTGGGTTAGGGAATCATCAGCAGAGACTTGTTCATCCCAGCTTTCGTCCCATTCCCAACTTGCATCCCAATTCTCGTTCCATTGTTGTTCTTCCCGTTTGCGCTTTGTGACAGCACCGCCAGCACCACCCCCACAAAGCGAGCGGCGCTCGCGGCACACTTGAGCGAAATGAGTTGACGCTTCATCCTCACAGTGGGGCTGCAGCATGAGGAAGTCTGATCCCTGCAGCATTTGCCACTTTTCCAGCTGGGAAGGTAACAGCTCGCACGTGGCAGGCCTGCGAGTGAGGATTCTGAGGGTCCTTGGGTCTGCGGCCTTGCGTCTGTTGAGCAATCTTGCCTTACACAAGCATCTGCGGCCACATCTGCGTGCAGCAAAACACACACGTGGTAAGGGGATGGGCTGCCAAACACGGGTTAGGGAAATGCACTTGCGGTTGTTTCGGCGTCGACGCACACCAATGTGTGCACATCTGGATTGGATATGTTTGTTGCTGCTCAGCCATCCTCCTGCTGCATACAAAATGATGGTCGACAGCAAGCTTACAACTTCATGCGTCTCACCAGCCTCTCAACCTGAACCTGAAACCTGTGCTCACGCACAATGGCAAGGATGCATAACCCGGGTTCTCAACTGGAATCTGATGTTCGAACCCAAAGGGAGTCAGCTGCACGGGGAACATGCAAGAAGCGCTCACTCGGCTCGATATGGGAAAAGGTGTGCAAGGAAACGATGAGCCCAGCCTCTCAACTTGAGCCTCAAACCTGTGCTCACGCAAGATGATAGAAATTCATGAGCCCGGGTTGTCAACTGGGATCTGACGCTCGAGTCCAAAGGGAGTCAGCTGCACAGGGTACACGCAGGAAGCGCTCACTTGGCTCGGTGTGGGAGGAAGAGTGCAAGAAAAAACGACGAGCCCAGCATCTCAACTTGAGCCTCAAGCCTGTGCTCATCATGATTCCTGAGTGTATAAACTTAGTAATGCGACAGGGGGCCTGTTGGGGAATAAAGCCCTGTGTAACTTGATAAGGCGACAGGGAGCCTCCCGGACTCCTGTGCCGCCGGCTTGTCCGGTCAGGTGTTGATATCCAAGAGCACTGGAATCGCTCCGGATCATGTCCTGCGCTATCCCCAAAACATAAACCAGACCCAAACGGCAACCCTAATCCAAGTCGTGAGGCGACAGGGAGCCCCTTGGACTCCTACGCCGCACGCTCACTCCCTGAAGCCATGGCATCGCTTGCCAATTCCTTCGGCGTGTAGCTTAATGGACATTAGGCCTTAAGACCTAGTTGTTGCTAATTCCTTAGCC